AGGCTGGCGGGCTGTCTGCCTCCAGCCGGAAGGGCTGGAAGGAAGGGGCCTGGCCCCTCCCTGGGTGGGGAGATGCCCGGCACCCGGGCCCTGCCCACGGCTGCACCCGGCTCGGACGAGCCCAACGTGCCGGACGTGTGTGGGAGGCGACTGCGGAGCTGACGGCTGTGGGCAGGGGCCTCCCAGGGACTGGCACCTGCATGAGGACGGGGACACGTCTCCGGGCCGCCGCCCCCAGGCTCGGCTGTCCCCAGAGCGGGCCCCTTCTCCTGGCTGACTCCAGTGTGCTGGGCCCAGTCTTTGGCTTCTGGAGGTGCCTCTGAGGACCTGGCCGTTCACCCCCTGACCCTGCTGTGGACCGCCCACTATGATTGCTTAAGACAAAGGGACGTGTGCGGGGGGAGGGGACGGGCGAGGAGGCCGGGCCAGGGCTGCAAACGCAGGGCACCCTCGGCCCCCGAGGAGCCACCAGCCACCTCACTTCCTGCAACAGTGCAGCCGTCTGGGCTCCGGAAATGGGCTGGGGCTCCATGTTCCCAGAAGATGCAGACCCCTCGGTGACCCCAAAAGTCACACTGGCCCCCTGGGACAGGAACAGAAACCCACTGAGTGGGAGTGTGCCCAGCAGCTCTCCGGGCACCAGCCACAGGCCCCACGACCAGAGAGTTTGAAGGCCTTCCTGGCCGCTGAGTGGGCCCTGGCAATGTCCTCCACCTTCTCTGAGAACACCCCTGGGCCCGCCCGGCCGGCAGAACCAACGCATCCGGGGTCCGAGCCTGCTGGGGGGCTCCTGGCTCTGAGGGCTGCGGACACTCCCCAGGAGGGGGCTCGGGACCGCAGGGCACCCTTCTTCATGCCCCGCCTCCTGGGGCCTCGGCCAGGCAGCCCCTCACCGGCAGCCAGAGAGCTTGGAGAGGGTCAGGCTGACACTCTGCCCCTGGCGAAGCTCTCTGGGGACAGCACACACCCTAAGGCAAAGCCCCACGTTCTCAGCTGCTCCCACGAGGGTCGCCCTGGGCCGGAGGACCTCCTCGGGGTCTTCACCCTGACTGTAGCTCCTGCTGTCCCCGAGCTTGCCGGACCAACTCCCCACCCAGTGGTCCCTGCAGGGCCTTCTGGCAGCTTGCAGCCCCCCTGCCCTCTGTGCCCAGCACCCACCCAGTCGAAGGGGCAGCTGTGTGGCAGGGGGGCTGCCCAGACCTCCATTCCAGCTGCCCCAGGACCGCCTCCCACTTCAATACCACACGCACGGGACAATGTGTCCCCGCTCTGGGCAGTGGCCGGCCCCCTGGTGCTCCCTGAGACCTGCCCCGCAGCTGCCGGCCGCCTCCCAGGCTCAGCTCCAGCGCCACTCAGGAGCTCCCGGAGGTCGGTTTCTTGCTTGGGAATTCGTCTCCTGTTCCCCGGGGGAGGGGGTCTCAGGCCCCTGCAGCCCGTCAGCGGTCAGCCGGAGTGGAGTGTCCAGGGTGCCTGCCGAGGCTGCCCCTCCAAGGTTGGATGGTCACGGGTGGGGGAGGAAGGCGGACCAAGGGCTCAGGCCGCTGACCAACCTGCTCGGCCAGACCCGAGCCCTGGTGACTCAGTGAGCACAGTCAGCAGGACAGAGGGCACACTGGGGCGGGTTCCAGGTTGTGACATCCTAGATGTCACAGGGGTGAGGAGACGCAGGCTTTCCCTGCTTCTCGCCCCTGGCACCTCACTCAGGGCCAGGGCACTGGTCACTAGGTGATCAGCTTGCTTGAAGGTTCTCCCAAAATGTGCAGCCTGCCCAGGGCCAGGGAGAGGCCCACACCCAGGAAACGGCGAAGAGAGACAGAGCCCAGATGGCCTCCAGAGTGGAGGAGAGGAAAGAGAGGAGGTGCAATCCCAGCAGACTTCCTGGAAGTGGCGGGATGAGATTTGCATAGACAGCAAAGGAGGACATTTTCCAGAGGAACACTGAGGCACAGGGGTGGGGGGACGGCCTAGGGGGCGTTTGTGGTACAGGAAGGTCTAGGGGAGGGAAGGGTGGGGCTGGGCAGGGGGCTGAGAGCCAGACTGGGGTGAGCTCCACCCTGGCGAGTGGGAGACACAGGACAAGGGCACTGAACAAGGGAGGGTCAGGGCTGGACGGGCACAGGACCCAGAGGCTAGGGCAGGACAGACCAGAGGCTTCACAGGAGAAGCGGAGGCCCCGGGGGTCCTGCAGCCTGAGACTGTCCCCTGCAGTGGCCTTCTGTTACTGGCTTGAGTCATTTCTTACTGGCTGTCACGAGTAGCAGCTGGGGTGGCTGCTTCCTGGGGAGGCAGCAGCTGGAGATTGAAGGTGCCCGGGGCAGGGCTTTGAGGACAAGGAAGGGTCCTTCCTGCCCAGTGTGCTGAGGTCCCCAACAAAGTGAGACGTGAAGAGGCACTTAGATGCAGCGGCAGAGGGCTGTGGGGCCGCGTGAATGTTTGCATTCAATGTCTTTAACCTGATCACCCCAACGTGATACAATGTTGCTAGTCCCGAGGCAGGGACGGATCTCCGAGGCACATTCCACATCCCAGGTGAATGAGCCGACCCGGGGGGGAAGGCTTGACCGGGCCCGTCTCTCCTCCTTGCCAGGAGGCCCCGCGGCCGCCTGCGTCATTGTCTGTGAAGCTACGGCGTGACTCACCTGAGGTGAGGTCCTTCTGGAATGCGCGGTCTCTGCCAAGTGGACCACTGACCACCCCTCTGCCCAGACCTGCAGGGCGGGCACCCGGCTGGCCAAGAGCACAGAATGTCCTCCGAACGCAGGAGACCTTTCCCACTTCGTAGATGCGACGCAGAAGGACTGCAAGTGGGCCCGTGGTGACGCTGAGCTCTCCAAAGGGGAAAGGCCAGTCTGGACCAGGCCGGGCTCTGCGGGCACCAGGATCTTGGCTCCCCCAGGTCCCCGACCCCCGAGTCAGAAAACCACCTGCACAGCCGGGCTCCTCCCCACCCCGCGGAGTCAGCTGCTCCTGGCGCTCGGGTCCCCCGATGTCCTCAGATGGTGCTGGAGTTTGGAGCTCGCAGGCCTGGCAGGGAAGGGCATCTCCTGCCCTAACCCCAACTCTTAACACCAGGCTCTGAGCAAAGAGTTCTCAGTGGGTGGCCGGGGAAAGAGCACCACACCACCTGCGCCTGAGCTGTGGGGGGGGGGGTGAGCCCCCCGTGTTTGTTCTCCCTGGGTGGCCCCGGCGAGCGCGGTCATTCCCACGTGTGGCCGTGCCCCCGGGCCTGTGGGAGAACTCGGACCTGGGCAGTGGGGTCCGGCTCCCCCGCAGCTGCTCTCGAGGCGGCACGTGCGGAGGGAAAGACGAGAGGCGGTCGAGACCCCGTCTCCCGAGAGCCACGCACGCGGCTGCAGGGGGCAGAGCGGGGGCAGCTGGTGGCCGGGGTGGGCTCCTCGCCCTCAGCAGGTCTCTGCTGCCCAGGCCGGTCCCCAGGCCTTTGTGCAGAGCTGGCCAGGGTCCCAGCCTGGGGAGGCCACCGCCTCAGTCCCCGTGAGAGGCTGCAAGTCAGTGTGGAAGGGAGTGTGGCCCCTCACACGGAAGGGTCACGTGTGTGGGCCCCCCCCACCGGTGCCAAGTGTCGTGAGAAGGGGAAACCGAGGCCCAGGAAGCCAATGCAGGGCCCCGGCCGCAGCCAGTGGGTGGCCCCAGTGGGCTCTCTGGCCGCGCCCCGCTCCAAGGCGTTCTCTCCGCCCCGGCTGGGTGCCCGGCTGGTAGAAGCATCGCCTGACACCAAAGGGTTGTGCGTCAGGTCCCCGGTCCGGACGCACACGGGGGATGACTGATCAATGTTTCTCTCTCTCCCCCCTTTCTTCTCTCTAAAAAATCACTAAACATTTCCTCGGGTGAGGAATTATAAAAATGATTTTAAAGTAACAATAAAGGGGCCTTCCCCTCCTTGGGTGGAATTGTGACTTTGGGGACGAAAGTGCTTTGGACCCTCTGTGGACCCCGGCTGCCACAGACCTCCCCGCCCCCGGCAACCTCGCGCCCCCAGGAGACTGAACTCCCAGCTGAGTTGAGTCTCTTCCTGGGACCCCCCGACCTCACGCTCGCCTTCTCTGGTGAACCGGGGACCTGCGGTCAGCCCACACCTGGACCGTGCCGTGACCACGGGTCCTGCTTGAGTGCAGTGCCCAGCAGACCATGGCCGCCACACGCCTGCTCTCGGCCACCGAGGGGCCAGAGCTGCCCTGGGGCCTGGGGCCGACTGCTCTCCGGCTTCCCCCAGATCCTCATTCTTGTGCCAACCGAGAGAACCTGACTGTGAGTGTTTAAAGTAAAAGGTGTTTCCAGAACCTCCCCCGAGGTCACCACCCCGACTTGGGTCCTGAGGCGTGGTTTCGATGGTCACCGGGCTGCGATGTCCACCGTGGGGAGTCGGGAAGGGACAATGGTGGCCGTTCCCGAGGCCCCGACTGCTGCACACGCAAAACTCACCGAAACAGAAGTGAGCACAGAGAGCGGGGTTAACGCGCGGTTTCAGTGTTTCCCGGGCAGGGCGCCGCCCGCTGACCCCCGCGTTCTCGGCCAGGACACCTGGTGCCACGCTTTTTAGGCCAGGTCCCCAGACTGGGGAGCTGAGTGTCGGGGCTGTGCTGACCTGTCCCAGAACCTGGCGAGCTTCCTCCCCACCCTGCCCACCCCGCTCCCCTGACCTCAGGAGGACATACCCCTTCCTCAAGGTGAGAGGCCCGTGAGCCAGCAGAGTCGGCGGGGGGAGGGTGTGTCTGCACAGCCAGCACCCCAACTTCAGATTTCGGTGGGCTGGGTGACGTCACAGAGCGGTGCCCGGGGAGTGGGCAGGGCCTGGCCCGAGCCTCCGGGAGACACTTGGCAGGGAGCGGCACCGCCCCTGCGGACAGGGCCCCTGGGGACCCAGGGAACCTGGGCTGGCTCTTCCTTCCCCTTCTAATTATTTTCTCTGCAGAGGAAACCCCGCCGGGATGGAGCATGTTGAGTTCAGAATGTTCTAGGACATTTTAGTAGGCTGCCCTTGTTCTCGAAGCTGCCGTGCTCTGTGGGTGACCTCCGGGGCCCCTCCCTCCCCCCCCCACCCCTCCACTTTGGGAGGGGGATGGAGAGCAGGCTCCAGCCCGACCCACAGCGTGGGCACCTGGAGTCTGTGGGCACCTGGCATCTGGCCCGGCTCTTTCCTCCCCCTGCACGCCCCGAGGCTCACCCCTGCCCCGGTGGGCAGGGCGCACAGAGTGGGGTCCCAGGGCACACAGGGTTTCCGGGCTGGCCTCTAGAGCCGGCCCAGGCCAGCCTCCGAGGACCGAAGGCCTGCATTTTGCTCTCATAAGCGGGAACGTTGGCTCCTGTCTCCCCTTTATGTGGTGGCCGCTGGAGGATGGGGAAGCCCTCGGATGTGACCTGTTTGCTGGGGCCACGAGCCCGGGCTCCTTGGGGGACCTGGGGTCACTGCTCCTCAGGACGGGGAAGGCCCGTGGCATGTGGGAAGGCTCACACGCAAGACTGCAAACCTCGGTGAGTTGGGGAGGGGGCCGGTTCCTCCCCCTCCCCCTCCCACAGCGGCGACCGCCTGCAGCAGGCGGGCTCCCCCCGCAGGGCATGCGAGGCGCCTGGCACGGCCCGTTCTTTCGCAATCAGGAGGAAGCATGTCTGGGCTCCGTGTTCTGGGCAGGAACTTAATGCCACTTTTTGTCTCTTCTACCTATTTTCATGGTGCTCTCTCTGTGGTAATGCTACAGATTTACCTTTTTTAAAAAAAAAGAAACTTACCCTTTTAGTAAAATACATGAACTGTTTGTGTAACTAAAGGTTTTAAGGAACCAAGACCCAAAGTGAAGTTCAGAGACACAGACTGCCACCCTGCTTCTGACATATGAAAGCCTCTCACAGTGGCCCCGTCCCATCAGAAAATTGGCCAGCTTCGCTTACACACCTCCTGTGATGGGGAGCTCACTACCCCTCGAAGGCATCTCTAACCAGCTCTACTGGGAAACGTGGCTCCCAACCGCTTCCACAGCCAAGGCCAGGTGCGCTGGGAAGCTCCGCTTTCCTGGGGGAGGGGTGCAGAGCGCACCCTGTCTACTCCCGCAGCCTCTTCTTCCATGTCCCTCAAGCAGGTCCTCATGCTGTTGGAGGGACCTTCTCCACCGGGGACAACAGTTAATGTCTTTTTCTCTTGAACGGCTGTTTCAGGAGCAGAGGCCCCTCTTCCAGGAGCAGCAGGACCCTGACCCAGCTTCCGGGAGTGGAGGCCTGACGGGAGACAGCCAGGGGCTCGTAGTATCGGAGCAAGTGGGCACAGGCCCCTCCTTCTGAAGAAAAGGCCATTTCCTAAGTAAATGGAATGTGGACGTTACCCCGAAACCCAGCACCGCCTCCTCCCCACCGCCAGCCCACAGGAAGCAGACGGAAGCCTGTGAGCGCTCCCTCTGCAGCCTAAGGCCACGCTCCGGGCATTTCCTCCTGACCCCACACGGCCCAGGATGCAAACACACACGTGGTTCAGTTCCGTAGACTTCTTGTAAAAATAAATTCATTTTACAGAAGCCGAAAGGGGACACTTGGGCATGTTATCGTGACCAGCTGTTACTATGTTAACTCCCGGACCTCATCCCGCTCGTTGCACTCAATGCTTTCACCGCGGAAGGTTTTCGGGAGAGGAGCGAGGCTCGGAGGGACGCAGCCCCGTGTGCAAGGCCACCCCGCGGGCCGGGTGGCAGGAATTCAGACAGGACCTCCTGGTGGTGGCTTTGTGTCTGGTGCTCCCTGTGGCCTGACCTCAGTGCTGACTTCAAACAGGATCGTTTTACCGAAAGGCAGCAGGCAGGAAACCCTGGGTTCCCCAGGCCAGGGTGCCGGCCTCGCTGTGCGCTCCAGGGCGCATCCCCAGCTGGCCCTCCCCCGCCGGCTCCGCTCCACGCCCGGGGGTGCATCAGAGAGCGCACCTGAGGCGCTGCGCGCAGATGCGAGTCCTGGCCAGACCAGGGCCCGCTGTGACCTTCGCGTGGCTGCCGCTCGCTGGCCTGTCCCTGACCGGGCCACGCACAGCCTTCCCAAAAGATTGGGGCACAAAACTCCACTCCCTGCCATGACATCTCCCTGCGGCCCGGACCCCGCTGGCCTGGATTCCAAGCCAGTTCGAGGCCTCGCGGCCTGGGGAGGGGCCTTCAGCGCTGGGCTTCAGTGTCCCCGCCGGCAAGCGGCGGGGCCGTGTCTCCGGGGTTGGGGAGGAATTACTCGGCCCAAGCGCGCGGGCTCCAGGGGCGCTGTCCCCCCCCCTCCCGGGTCGGAGGCTCGCAGTCCAGGCCCCAGCCCCTCTCCGGGGGAGTCACGCAGCCCCTCCAGCCCCTCCCTCGCCGCTGGCTCCGCCGCAGCCCTTCAGTGGGCGGGCCCGGGGGCGCGGCTGGGGCGGGGCCAAGCAGCCGGTTTCCGAACGGGGGCGGGCCCGGGAGCGGATGAATGAAACACCGAGTGGGTTGCTAGCGGCCGCCAGAGCTCAGTGCGCAGCGCGGCGGCCCAGACCCGGGACGGTGAGTGCTCCCGGGAGTGCGGGCGGGCTGGGCAGGCGCGCCGGGCCGGGGCCTGCTGACGTCAGGAGCGCGGCAGGTGCCTGCGGCGGGGAGGGGTGGCGGGGGCCCGCGGGGCCGAGGTGACGCTCGCACGGGGTTGGGGAATCCGGGCCGGGCAGGGGCCTGGGGTCCGCAGAGCGCTCCAGACCCTCCGGCGGGCGTGCGGGCCAGAACGTGGACCAGCGCCGCACAGCCCGGCTGCCTCCCGGGCATCGGAGGGAAAACTCATCCCTTCTCGCTTCCAGCTCCGCTTTCGGGGACCCTGGGAGGAGACAGGCGAAGGGCAGAGAGGTGCGTGGTAGGCGACTGGGGCTCAGACGCGGGTGGAGGAAGCGGGCGGGGAGGGGCGGCGGTCCAGGGGGGTGGCCAGGGCAGGTCCAGACGCACATGCTGGAGCAGGCCACGAGGGCCGGCCGGGGCCAGATGTGGCCCCGGCAGCTGCCGGCCCGCCACCTGCGGCGGATGCGGCCGCCGCTGCTGAGTCGAGGAGGAAGCCGGCCGTGAAGTTTCTGGAGGGAGGCGGCGCTTTGTTCCCGCCATCCGTGCTCCGAGCTCCGGATACTGCGGGGAGCGGGGCGTGGGCGGAGGCAGCCCCGAGGGGCTCCTGTGGGTGGCCCCGGGCTGGTCCCCAGCCTGGGTTATACCCGCCACGTGCCTGTCCCGGCCTCACCACGTGAGGTCCCACACCGGATCCCCGGGTGCAAGCAGAGGGCAGGAGGGATGGAAATGAGGGTGCTGACCCACTCCTGGCGTCTGGAGGGTACACTGGCTCCCAGATCGGGAGACTGGGGGAGAGACCCAGGCTGGCTGTGGGTGGAGGGGGCCCCACTGGGGCAGTGGGGTCAACGTCAGGGGTGTGGAGAGGAGGCCGGCTGGCCCCACAGCCCCCAGACCACACACCCAGGAGTGCTGGGGCTCCCTGGAGTGGCCCCCCGGGCAGGTGGAGCCGCAGTAGTTTTCCACAGGGTTCACCCAGCCTCAGCCTCGGCTTGAATTCCCTCTGTCTGATCAGAAACTGGTCTGGGCAGCAGCTGGACCCTGCAAGGCCAGGGCGGAGGGTTCTGTTCTCTGGGCCGGATGGGGCCAGTGGGCCTCAGAGCACAGGAAGCTGCTGGTTGTGGCTGGCGGCCGGGACTGCGACCACCGCAGCGATGAAGACGGCAGGGGCTGTCTGCACAGCGCTGGCCCTGTGCTGCAAGCCTCGAACCCCACTTTGTCAGTCCTGGCCGCTGCTCAAGGCCGCCACTGAACTCCCACTTTTCCGATCAGCAAACTGAGGCCCTGAGCGGTCAGGTGACCAGCCCACGGCCATACAGCTTGTCTGGGTGAAGCAGTTTGAGTCCGGGTTTGTGGGACCCCGGACATTTAGAGTTCTGTGCCTGGGGATGGGGGAGCCAGGAACACTGACACAGGACACTGTCCCAAAGGGTGGGCCCTGGCCCTGAGACACAGGCCCAACACCTCTTGGCAGCCGGCCTGTCCCGCCAGGCTGCCCCTGTGTGGCTGGGAGGAGGCAGGAGGGACATCTTGGTTGGACCCAGGTCCCGACCCCCCTGCACAGGCACCTGTCCTGTTTCCTGCTGGGCAGGGCGGAAGGTACTACCTGGAAATTCTTCATGGGGCCACCTTCCTGGGTGTGGCTCTGGAAGCAGATGCCAGGCAGGTCCCATTGCCAAGGTGAGGTGGCTGGATGCCTGGAGTCAGGCAGGATGGTGGCCGAGAGGATGAGAGTCTGGGGGTTGACCTGGCTCCGAGGGACTCAGCGTGGAGCGCCTGGCTCTCCCTGGCCTTGACGGGCCCTCGCCCTATGGACCCGGGCTGCAGCGCCGGGTCTCAGTCTGCATCTGGCCCCCAGTCAGCCAAGGCTGCCTGGCTCCTTGTGAATCGCAGTCAGCACCATCCCGGTGCTTTCCCTCCGGAAGTCTGTGGGTGTCAGGTAATGCACCCCGGGTCAGCATTGCTGAGCGGTACAGACTTTGTGGCTTTTTGGACTCACACCCCAGGGGCAGTGGCTCCCACTGTGGCGAGTTTGAGCCCCTTGGGCCTCCCTGGTGGGTGACGCCGAGGGTGATGGGGGCAGGAAGCCAGACCAGAGCCTGCTGCTGGATGGGAGGGAGCTGGGCTGGGGCACCTGGCGCAGTGGGGGATGCGGAGGACTTGCCTGGCCATCCACCTGTCTCCTCCGGTGTCATCTACTTGGGGTGTGGACCCAGACCACAAAAATGGCCCCTCTGGAGTCACGTGGTCACCTGTGCTCAGGTGTGCCCAGGAGCCCATTGTCTGCTCTGGCAGGGGACATACATGAGCCTCAGGACCTCAAGGCCACCTTAGTTCTGGGATGTTCCGCTGCTTGCCCGGCCTGGCCTGGCCTGGGCGTGGTGGGCATGGTGGAGGGCTGGGGAACAGGCAGTGGACAGGCCCCTGGGGACTCTGCAGGGAACGGGGCACCCGGGCCCTGCCAGGAGAAGCAGAGGAAACCGTCCCAGGTGCCTGAACGCCAGACCCCGGCTGTGTCCCCTCGTGGGCTGCTGTCCTGGGCACGCCTCGCTGTCCTCAGTGGCTGGGGCAAAACCCTGTTTCCACCAGCATTGTCCAGAATCAGCTCCCGGACCACATTTCTGGGGACGGGTGGACACTGTCACTAACCACATGTCCTGCAAGTGCTGCTCACAGCGAGGCCAGGAGAGGCCTGAGCACAGGGTGGGCTGGGCCAGCTGAGGCCCAGATGGCTCTGCTGGTGGGTGCTCAGGACCCCCAGGCTGGGGGGCTCCCAATAGGCCTTCTACCCCCATGTTGAGCCGGGTCCCTGTGAGCACCCTCCACGTGGGGGTTGCCTCTTCTCAGTGACTTTTTAACTTAGCAAACCTTGGGGTGACCCCTCAGCCTTAGCCACAGGGGGCTTGGGATGGGCTGGGCTGAGCGTGGCACCCCCCCACCTTGCTCCAGGCCCTTTTTGGGGCATCGACCTCTCAGCAGGCACCAGGGGCCTCGTACATGGACCCAAGGGCCTGAGAGGCCCTCATGAAACTTGACCCAAAAGGGTCTCGGCCAAGTCCAGCCCAGGCAGGGCCCAGCCTGTGGGCAGAGCCTGCTGCCCCCAGCTCCCCCCGCCCCATGAAGACCCTTCCGTAAGTCTGCATTTCTGATGAGCCTCAAGTGGTGCCTGGACCCCTTCCCAGTAGGGAAACTGAGGCTCAGGGAGGCCCGACCCGAGGTTCAGTGCCTGCCTGGCTCGGAGGCAGCCCCTCTCTGCGCGGGCATCGCCCCGGAGTGGTGGGGATGGCTCTTTTTTTTTTTTTTTTTTGATCAAACATCATTAATTGGGAAGAGGCATACGCTCCCTCAGCCCCCCCCACCCCGGCTCACCCCACCCTCCCCGCCCGGGGCTCGGGCACTGGGGACGAGCGTGGGAACAGGAACAGGACGCTCCCTGAAGGGCAGGCCCTCACGCGCACACTCAGACAACCCTTCATTGTCGTCCTCCATGCAAAGCAGCTCTGGGCTCGTGAAGTATGCAAACTGGGTAACCAGGCCCTGCGGCGGCCGCCCCAGGTCAGGCCACAGGGGTGTCTGCGATATAAATAGCTTCGAACCTCATCTGGAAGAAGTGAAAGCCCCCTCCCTGACCCCAAGAGGGGACACCAGGGCGGGGCCAGGAGAGAAGGCAGCTGCCTGGGGACTGCCAGGAGCCACAGGGGGGCAAGGACCGAGGGTGCAGCCAGGGTGCTGGGGCTCAGGCAGGGGTGTGGGACGTGCCACAGCCTCAGAGCCATCAGGTGCAGCCAGGAGGGACTTCACCGCTGGCACACATAACGAGAAAGAAGAAACGAAATCTGCATTTCCCCAGCAGCAGCTCAGTTGTCAGGAGGGCTCGCCACTGAGCCTGGGGGGGTCTGGAATGAAGAGGGCTCCCGGGGGGCATTCGCTGGGCCAGACCCCAGACTGTCCCAAAGGGGCTTAAAGCGCCCCTCTCGGTCACCCCTGCCTGCCTGTCCTGCTTCGCGTAAACCTCCACCTGGGACATGGAGCGAGGGCCTGTGGGGACCTGCAGAGGCATCGAAGGAGATAAGAGGAGCGAGAGGAGCGGGCACGCCAAAGCGTTTCTGTGGGAGCCGGGGTCCCAGTCCTCTCAGACGGGGCGCGGGGAGCCGCCCACAGGCCACCGGCTCATCACAGCGCAGCCTCGGGCCCTGGATTTCCCCAGTGGGCAGGGTGTGGCCTCCCCACCAAAGCCCCAGGCTCCCTCCCCACTCGCTGTCCTGGGCCAGGAGACTCCCACTGCCCGCCTGACCAGGGACGACCCCCTGCCCCCATTGGGCCTGAGTGCAGCTGTGCCTGAGCCCCATGGCCACAGGGGAAAGGGGGTGGGCTGGGAGCGCCAGGCCGATGCCCAGCTCTGGGGTCTCGAAGCCGAGGTGCCGGGAGGGAGCACAGGGCCCTGGGGACCGGCGGTCCAGTGGGGGCTCCGCCAGACACGGGGCGCCATCTCCTCCACACCGGGGCATTTCCTCGCAGGCTCCCAGGGCCGTGGGACCGACCTCGGGGCTGTAAGAGTCTGGGCGTCGCACAGCCCTGGGTGCCCTCAGGATCCGGCCGCAGCTGGCAGACTCCAGACTCCGTGGCGGGGGTTGTGCTCCAGCTGCCTTGCACCGCAGCACCTCGGTCACTGGGGTACACGCTCCCCTTCCAACCCAGATGCGCAGACAGGGCCGAAGCCTCCCAGAGGAAGAAGCCCGTGGTCCATCGCAGGACAGGAGCCCTGACACTGTCCCCACGCTCGCCGGACAGAGGAGAGGCGGGCCCCAGATGAGGCCGGAGGCCCTCCGTCCTCGGTGGCTATGGGTCCTGAACCAGGTCCTCAGACCCTGAGGGAGGCCTTGGGGCTGATGGACGAGCACTGGGTGCTCAGTTCTCCTGCTGCATCGGGGGCGGCTGGCGGCCGGACCCTGGCCACCCTCTCAGATGAGACTTTCCACATGGGCTGATTCACACGCGTGTGCCACGCAGGCTCTGGGTTGGCCGTTGTCTGTCTGGGTCAGAGGCCCACCGCTCTCGGATTGGACAAAACTTGGCTGCGGAACCACCCGAGGTGCGGGCCCTGGGGCGGTCTGGCCCTCCTGCAGCCCCCAAGCGAGCCAAGTGTGGGGCCCACAGGCCACTGCTCGGCAGCCGCCGCATCTCGGGCCTGGGTTTGCAGTCATTCCCGGGCTGCAGTGCAGACGCCCCGTCCCACTCAGGGCTCTGGGCCGCTGCAATGAGCCCCGCTGACCCCTGGGCCTGGCCCGGCCCCATCCCTTGGGGATCTGCTCTGGCCCCAGGATGAGACCCAGGGCCTCGTGGTTTGCGTGTGCAGGCGTGCAGACGGTTGTGTGTGCATGTGCACGAGTTGTGCATATGTGCGTGGACGTGTGTGCACGTGCATGGGCTCCCACATGGTGACAAAAGACACAGGGCGGCTTCGGGCCCGGGGGTTTCGGGGGCCGTCGCGCCTGTTCTGCATTTCTCTCTGTGTCACTGGCCACCTGAGCTGGGGCGCAGGTGGGCGGCGGCTCCAGGCTGCCCCACTGCCTCCCACGTGCGAGCTGCCTGTCCCCTGGGCGGCCGCCAGTCTGGGCAGCTGTGCGCGGGTGCCTGCCTCCGTCTGGCAGGAAGCTCGGACGGCCCCCTCAGGCCCCGGCTTTCTCGTGACCGAGCCCGGCGGGCCAGCCGGCACTGGGCAGCGGAACTTCTGCCCTCCGCCCACAGCCTTGAGATTGGCCGCTGATAGCAGTCTCCAAAGCAAACAGCCAGCTGGTGTGTAAATGCCACTCGGTCAGAGGGCAGCTGTGACGCATGGGCGTGGGCTCTAACGCCGGGCAGCATGGACGGGGGCTGTTTGCGGACCTGGGCGCATTGGGCCCACTTCCCTTACCTGTATAGTGGGCGTGGCCAGGCGTGCACAGGGGTCACCCACAGGCTGTCTGGGAATGTGTGATGTCCCCGTGAGGGGAAGGGGGCCTGGCGGTGTTCACCCCGCGCCCAGCCCTGTGGCAGAGGGGTGCGAGGCTTACATCACTAGCTAAGGTGTGACCTTCCGATTGCACGGAGGAGCAGAGCGGTGGCCCCTTGCCCACTGCCTCGGTGACGTGGCCCTGCAGGGGACCCAGGAGCAGGACAGGGTTGTGGTGGGCGGACCACGACCCCCTGGCTTCGAGGCTGAGTCCACAGGGCGCAGGGTCACCATGCTGCCACAGGGGGGCCTGAAGAGAGATGGGTGCTGCTTAGTCTCCCCAAACGCAGAACTGCCCCCCGAAACAAGGTGGGTCCTGCCCCCGTGCCCCTGGGCGGCCCGGTCTGTCTGCCAGGACTCCTGCTGTCCGACCCCATCTCGGCTGCGCTCCCAGGGCCCGGCCCTGTCCCCTTCCTTGCTTCCCCCACCCCCAGAATCTGGACTGAGATGGACTTCGTGTTTGCACGAAGGTCCCAGAGGGCTGGCAGGGTGTGGGGTTCAGGAGGGCTGAGCTTGACACTGGCTGTGGGCAGGTCTCTCGGGCACTGGCAGCTGCCAGAGCCAGAACTCAGCTCGGCCCCTGGAGAGGCCGGGGGGGGGGGGGGCCAGGGCTGCCCCAGGACCAGGCCGGGACACCTGCCCACCCCCTGACCACCAGCCCAGCTGGTGGACCACCAGCCCCTGACCACCAGGCCAGGGACACGCCACAGCCCTGAGTCTGTGGGTCCAGGTGGGGCCCTGGATTCGGAGAGGGAGCTGGTCCCCCGGGTTGCCCCACCAGACCGGGTACAGCCTACGCAGGTAGAACCCGCAGCAGGCCTAGGGGATGGGGCACGTGGGCCCGTTCTCCCCGAAATGTCAGTTTGTGGGTGGACGCCAGTCTACTCACCAGAAACTCTTCTCACAGGACAAACCGGCCACTGGAAGACGGCCACGGTCACCGCCTGGGTGGAGATGCCCCAGCACGCGATGGGGGACAAGCCCTTTGCCTCCATGCCGCAGCTGGTCTGCCCCGTGGCCCTGGACGACGGGGGTGACTGCACCCCCCCCAGCAGGCGGGCGTCCCTGGGCTCACCCCTGAGCCTGGGTGCCCTGCGCCCAGCCCCCCATGGCCCGCCGGACTCCTGCAGCCAGCCGCTGTGCCAGCCCAGGGCCCAGAAGCACGGCGGCCGGGCGGCCCCCTCGGCGCGGTACACGGCCGTGGGGCCCCAGAGCTCCGAATGCGGCTGGCGGGCCTTCGCCCCCGCGTGCCTGCAGGCCTTCAACACGCCACGGGGCTTCCTGCTCTTCCTATCGGCGGCCTCCTTCCTGCAGGGCATGACCGTGAACGGCTTCATCAACACCGTCATCACCTCTGTCGAGCGCCGCTTCGACCTGCACAGCTACCAGAGCGGCCTCATCGCCAGCGCCTACGACCTGGCCGCCTGCCTGTGCCTCACCTTCGTCAGCTACTTCGGCGGCAGCGGGCACAAGCCGCGGTGGCTGGGCTGGGGCGTGCTGGTCATGGGCGTCGGCTCGCTGGTGTTCGCGCTGCCCCACTTCGCCACGGGCCCCTACGAGGTGGAGGTGGACGAGGACCTCGGCGCATGCCCGGCCAACCGCAGCAGCGTGGTGTGCGGGGGCCAAGCTGCAGGCCCGTCCGGCTACCAGCTGGTCTTCATGCTGGGACAGTTCCTGCACGGCGTGGGCGCCACACCGCTGTACACGCTGGGCGTCACCTACCTGGACGAGAACGTCAAGGCCAGCTACTCGCCCGTCTACATCGGTGAGTGCAGGCGGCGGGGGGTCGGGCAGCGAGGCAACCACACTGGCCAGGTGCCGACGAGGAGCCCGGGCCTGGTGCGCATTTTCCCGTTGCCACTCGTGGCCGCACGTAGTCCCAGGGGCTCCCAGGTGATGGGGAAAGAGCCCCACAGAGGCCTGCACTTGGCTTTGAGAGAAATATTTTTAAATCCCTTTAAGAAGTTGGCTCCAGCCGGGGTTTCAGAGATGAAAACCCTGATTTAAAGGGATCTGTCCCCTGGTGGGGGGGTCAGTTGGGTGCAGAAGGGCCCGTGTGGGGGGCTGCTTCTCCCGGGCGGGCCGGCTGCCGAGTGTCACTTCCCGGGAGCCACACGGGGAACAGCCCCGCAGCACCCAACGGCTCTGCTCCCCGCACAGCCATCTTTTACACGGCGGCCATCCTGGGCCCCGCGGCCGGCTACCTGATCGGAGGCGCCCTGCTGAACATCTACACGGAAATCGGCCGACGGTGAGTGGCCCAGCCCCCTGCGCCAGCACAGAAATCGCCGCGCTCACCACGCAGCAGGACGAGGTGCCCACGGGGCAGGTGTGCGGGGAGCGCTATGCACCTGCCGGTCTGGGGCGGCTGGGAGAGCGGGGGGCGGGGCCGGGGGCACTGGACCGCTTCCCGGAGCCACGTGAGACCAGGCCACCCTGAGGCCCTTTGCAGAACTGGGGGTGGGTTTTCCTGCTGCTGGTGACACTCTTCTCTGCGGGTTTTTCCACACCGAGCAATTTCCCAGACGCCAGCTGGGCTCCCAGAGCCACCGACTCCCCACATCTGGGCAGGCCCCACAGGTTCAGCGGCTGGGTCCCCCGAGGCCGACCCCCAGTGAGGACGCCAGGTCGCCCGTGCGTTCTGTCCCCCTGGGGCACAGCACGGAGATCCCCGCGACCTCCTCCCAGGCTCCGCAATGTGCTCGGTGGCTCCCCGACCTCAGAAAGCCCGGCTCTCCCCGGCTCTCCCACCGGACACAAAGCAGGTGGCGGAGAGCACAGGGTGCCACGAGGGAAGGGGCCGAGCTTGGCGCCCCCTCCCCCAGGCCCCCCCACCCCGGGAACTCCGGGACCCCCTCCTGCTAGGGTTTTCGGGGGGCCTCACTCCACAGGTGTGGTTGGTTACCTCCCTGGAGGCCAGGCGGCAAGTCCCAGCCTCACCGGGGAGCTTTCTGGTGACCAGCCCCCCTCCGAGGCTCTCGAGGGACCTGCCGAGAGGGGCCACATCCAATGCGAGATGCCGCCACCACCCAGAAACCGCAAAGAATTAGGGTCTGTGCCAGGGACGGGGCCGAGGCTGGGTCCCTGTCACGTCTTGTGCGTTTCTTCGGTCTCCTGGCGAGTTGTGCTCGTGATGCTAGTGTTGTACGTCCGAGCAGGAGAGAGACAGGGCCGAGGCGAGACAGACAGACAGACACCGAGAGACAGACGGAGAGAGGTGAGAGGGAGGGCAGAAGGAGGAGGGAGCCCCGCGGACCACGGCGGGGGCGGGCTCTGCAGAGGGCCCGCCCTGCGGGCGTCACCCTCCGGCGCCTTCTGAGACTGGGGTGGGCGGCCACCCCGCACGCTCTCTGCGGACGGCGGCCTCCCGTCCAGGCCTCTAGTGCCCTGCCCTGGTTCGGACGGCAGCTGTGGCCTCGGTTGACTAAGTGGGGCGTCAAACGTGCGCGTTCTGGGCAGTGCAGGAGGCGGGTGGGGCCGTGCCCCTCCCTCGCTACGCCCTCCCCCTGGCCTGCGTGGGCCGGCGGCCGAGGGCGCGCAGCCCCGGCCGGGACCCTGACCCCGCCGTCTCTTCCCACAGGACCGAGCTGACCACCGAGAGCCCGCAGTGGGTCGGCGCCTGGTGGGTGGGCTTCCTGGGCGCCGGGGCTGCCGCCTTCCTCGTTGCGGTCCCCATCCTGGCCTACCCGCGGCAGCTGCCAGGTGGGTGCCCTCCCAGGTGTGCGAGCCGCGCACCACCCCCTTGCTGTCTGCTGAGCTGCAGGAGAGTCCGGGTGTCTGGTGGGCCACCCTGCGGGGTGCGGCCAGCCATTGGTGCCCCCGCAGCAAGGCCAGGGCTTCAGTGGGGGCAGGAGCGCCCTTTCTTTTCCTCTGGCCAGGTTGGGCCACCAGCTCTGTCCCACCTCTCGTCACTGTGGTGCATCCTCACACCTTCTGTCCCACGGGGGTCCCCAGCCTGGCGGGGCAGGGCCAGCAGCCGGCCTGGGGTCCCTGCCTCTCACCAGGGCCCCTGTCCCCCCAGGCTCCCAGCGCTACGTGGTGGTCAGGGCCTCCGAGACGCACCAGCAGAAGGACAGCGGCCACCGGGCGGCCAGCAGCCCCGACTTCGGGAAAACCATCCGCGACCTGCCTCGGTAAGCAGCTGGGGGGTGGTCCCCGGCACACGCCTCTCCCCCGTGCTGCGTGTCTCCAAGACCCTTTGAGGGCCCCACACTCGCTGAGCTTGGCCCCAAGCTAGGAGTGTCCGAGTGACCCTCTGGGGTCCCGTGGGGAGCGCGCAGTCCCCCAGCCCCCACCGTGACCTGGCGCCCAGGGACGCATGTCCGACCCTCCAACAGCCCCCTGGAGTCCCCCTGGCTGGCCGCACCCCTCCCTCTTCCACCCTCCAACGGTTTCACTGCCCCCACTGACCCCCCTCCGGGCCACACATGCCTCTGTCCACTGTCTGCCCTCTTTCTCCTTGGGGGGGACGTGGTCTCGCTCTCTCATCCCGGTTCACAGAGCCCTGGGGGCTGCTGCCAGGGCCCCTTCTCAGGGGACCTGACCCTCCTTGGGGGCCTCTCTGGGCTCCAGTCCTCGGCCTTGCTGAGTGCCCACCGGGCCCTGCGGCCCCCCAGCCCATTTGTTAATGGCAGCGTCTGACAGGCCACAGGACGGCTGTAAGCGGCCGGTGCCTGCCTTCAGCAGGAGAGGTGGAGGGGCAGCCTCCGGGGGAGCGGGCCGGCACGTGGACGGTCCCCACGGCATCCAGCGTGTTGTTCTCCCCGTCCAACTTCCTGTGGGCCACCCAGGAGACCCGCCCCCTCAGGAGGGCGCCCCCACCAGGGTGAGCTGGCCCAGGGCCTCTCTGGCCAGGGGACGGGGACATCATGCCGACGCCCACTCCGTGTGGGACACAGAGCCCGTCCACTGCCTGGTCCCCAGTGGACCCGGGGGTTGAGGGCAGACCCGGGCTCGGTTCCCCAGACTGGCTACCGGTAGAGGAACGAGCCCCCCCACAGGTGCCCTCGGTCAAGGCCATGACTGGTTAGGTCCCCGAGCACAGGCAACACAAGATTTCCGCCAACACCGCAGGCTGGGGAGAAACCAGGAAGTCTGCCTGCCACGGTGGAGCCCGCTCCCTGCAGGACCACGGCCCCACCGCCTGGGCGAGGCAGCGGGAGGGCCAGCCCCACCCGGGGGGCCCTTCCCAGGGAACACACGGCCCTCGCGGCAGGGGACCCAGGAGGATGGTGTCTCCGGGCCCCAGTGGGTCAGCCCTCAGCTGCCACCGAGAACCTCTCCATAGTCACAGCGAGGCTCTGAGCTCCATAGAGCCGGGTGGTAGCCCCCATTAGTCACCAATCACAGGACCCTGACCGGGTGGTCAGGGCGCAAAAGTGAGGCCGTCCCCCCCGACCCACGTCCCTCATGACTTCTGGGCACAGGACTCAGCCCCATTGGCTGAGCCATCTCTGCGCTGGGCCAGGTGCCCGCCGTCCGTGGCTCTCCAGGGCTGGGAAACCCCGGCTGCCTGCCCAGGGTATCTGTGCATTGGGGCACTGCCCGCACAGGCCGGGCCTTTTACTCCCAGACCCCCGGGGGTAGGGACGTCCTGTTTTCTGTCTGGGGCTCTGTCCACCTTGCTGGTGTCTCTCCCGGCAAGTCCGCCAGCTCTGAGCGCCGCCCCCGTTTGCACGGCACCCTCGGTGCTCATACTGCTGCCGCTCCTGACGGGCAGGGGACAGGACCCCTCCTCCCCGCAGGGCCGGCCCTCCTCGAGCCCGTGTGCTCATTTCTCAGGTGGACCGTGGCCTGGCACTGGGCACCGACACCCTGTGACTCTGGGGACGCCTCCCCGGTGAAGCTTCAGGCTGTGGCGCTGGCACCTCCAGGCCTACGCCCCACGTCTAACACTCCTGAACCCGCCCCCACCAAAGCCATGCGAGGCCGAGCCTGCCCAGTCCTCAGACAGGGGTCCAGGGGGGTCCGCCAGGGGACCAACGTCCGCACCCTCCCTCAGGCCGGGCAGCGCCCCACCGAGTGCACAGCAGGTGGGGTTGGGGAGCCAGCCAAGCCCACCGAGGGCTCCCAGGAGGGGCCTCTTGGTCCAAGTCAATAGGACTTCCTGGGGGGGGCCTTCCCACAGGCTGCTGGTTCAGAGGGGTCCCACCCCTCCATGCCTGGGTCTCCTTTCCCAGGGCCTGTCCAGTCCTGAACTTGGCGACGGTGGCCCTCAGAGGGGCCTGAACAGCACCACGGGCCACTCAAGGTCTCGCCTCACCCCGGAGCCTGCCCTCCAGCCCAGGGGGGAGGGAGCCCTTCCGTAACCCGTGGCAGTAGCTTCCGCCTCGGGCTGCACGCTGCGGACCCAGGTGCCAGGTCCCCCGGCCACAGCCCAGCCACGCCCACCCCCAGTCTCTGTGGACTAGAACTGGGGTGCCTGCCTGTTCTGTCCCCCCTCAAGAACCGCGGCATCCCCACGCCCTGGCTGCGGCAGGCTCTGACGCCCCATCTCTTCCCTCCGTTCTCCGCTCCGTCCCCCGGCAGCTCCGTCTGGCTCCTCCTGAGGAACCCCACGTTCATCCTGCTCTGCCTGGCCGGCGCCACGGAGGCCACGCTCATCGCCAGCATGTCCACATTTGGCCCCAAGTTCCTCGAGTCCCAGTTCAGCCTGAGCGCCTCCGAGGCCGCCACCTTGTTCGGTGAGAAAAGGCCCCGCATCTCGGGGGCCCTCAGCGTCTTTGCCAGTTCTCAGATGCGTGAGGGGTCTTCGAGAGCATGTTCCGGAAGGCCCAGGTGCGCTGCCCCCTGGGGGGCCCAGCCCAGGCAGGGGGAGCCCGAGCGCTGGGCAACACCGCCCCGGGGTCTGACCGGAGCAGACCGCCCTTCCCCGGGGGTCTGGGTGTGTGGACCACTGCGCGCCTGGTGCACTGACGGGTCCCTCTGAGGCCCCAGGCGCCGAGCTGCCCTCCGCGTGGCAGCCCACTCTGCTGGGGCCCCGCCTGCCTAGGGCCTCAGCCAGGGTCCCGGCTCCCGGAGAGCCTGCCGGGCCACAGGCGCCCAGGAGAGGGAGGACCCTCCCGAGGCCCCTCCTGGGCAGCTCTGGCTGCAGGGCAGCCTCGGCCGCTGAGAACACCCCTGTCCGGGGAGGGGCCACCCCAGTGTGCACGGCTGCCCTGTGGGCGCAGTGGGGGCCTCTGGCCAGTGCCCCTCAGGCTCCCACTCCCGCAAGGAGGGCCCATCGTCAGGGGCCGGGCCCTTCCCTGAACACCCTCCCTCCTCTCGCTGCCCGGCCTCTCGGCGACTCCCCCACCCAGACCCCACCCACGACAACTGCCTCCCGTCCCCACAGCAGCCCTCTCCCGGTCCTGGGACAGCCATGTCCTCTGGGCCCCCCCTGCCACCCCTCAAAGGGGCTCTGGTCAGTGCTGGGGAGCCCGACTTTCATCCTGGGAGCCCCTGCTGACTAACCTCAACTTCACTTTGAGGGACGATGACCTCGGCTTCACACCTGCCCCCCCAGGTGGACGGGCAGAGGCCGTGTGCAGGGCCCGTGGGGGGGGACACGCTCCTCCCCAGAGGCAGGGCCTGGCACCTGGCGAGCCCAGCACTGCCAGACGGGATGGCTCTGCGCCTCAGGTTCCCCATCCGCAAAGGGGGGGGGTAACAAGATGCAGAGGGTTCAGGGCCCAGGCTCCCGGGGAGCCCCTGGCTGAGCCCACCCTCTCCCACAGGGTACCTGGTGGTGCCGGCGGGCGGGGGCGGCACCTTCCTGGGCGGCTTCTTCGTGAACAAGCTGAAGCTCCGGGGCTCCAGCATCATCAAGTTCTGCCTGGCCTGCACCCTGACCAGCCTGCTGGCCACCCTGGTCTTCCTCGCACACTGTCCCAACGTGCCCATGGCCGGCGTGACGGCCCACTACAACGGCAGGTGGGGCCGCAGCGGGGTCCACGGGTGGGGAGAGGGAGGGGCTGCGGGCCCTGGGCCGCCCCCCAGCGTGGGTGGGAGGGGGCAGAGCACCGCGGGCCGGGTGCCCGCTGTGCGGGAAAGGCATGAACTGCCCGCCCGGCTGCAGCAGGACCGTGTCTGGGGGGATTCGCACCCGACACTCCTGGGCCCTGTTGGGCCCGGAGCGAGGCCGCTTCAGCATGTGGAAGCCCGGGACCCGCTGCCCGAGTTAGAAACACACCGGCGGGGATGCGCCTGGCACACGGGTTGGATTCGGGCCCGGGTTTGCTTTGCTGGGATGATTTCCCGGGATCCCGTGAGGCCCTGTGTGACGCTCGGACCTCTGAGGGCGGGGCAGTCCCAGCAGGTGGTCGACCCACCCACGAGGGCCCGGGGGACGAGACCGGGCTGCCCGTGTCCACGGGGCGCCCCGCCCGCCCCAGCCTCCGCCCCACCTCGCGCTTCTCCCACTGGCAGCGCCTTGCCCGAGGGCCACCTGGAGCTGGTGGCCGCCTGCAACGCCAACTGCAGCTGCCGGGCAGAGCACTACAGCCCTGTGTGCGGCTCCGACGGGCTCACCTACTACTCCCCGTGTCTCGCGGGGTGCCAGGGCGAGACCGCGCCCGGCCCGGGCGGCCAGAAGGTGAGTGAGGCCCTGCCTGCGTCACGAGGCCCCACGCCTGGGCCCCCGGCCCCTCCCTGCCTCCTGTAATGGGCGCTGTGGTTGCGCTCCTCAGGTGTACCGACGCTGCCGGTGCGCGCTCCGGAACCTGCCCTCCGGCCCCGGCCACGCGGCCGCAGGGAAATGCCCGGCCACCTGCAGGAGCAAGCCCCTGCTTCTGGTGCTCATGTTCGCTGTGATTGTCTTTACGTTCCTCAGCAGCATCCCCGCGCTGACGGCGACACTGCGGTAAGCACAGGCTCCGGTCCGCCGCCTGCCCCTGTGGCTCGCTCCAGCGGGGTCCCTGCCAGGCCCCCCAGTTCCAGCTGGGGAGGCGGCCATGCAGCCTGGGGCACAGCCTGGACTCAGCTGTGGGCTTGGGCGAGGGAACTGGTGGCGGCCACGCTTCCCTGGTGGTGACCCGGCGGTGTCCCCCCTCAGGTGCGTCTGTGACCAGCAGAGGTCCTTCGCGCTGGGAATCCAGTGGATCGTGGTTAGAACTCTAGGTAGGGCGCCCCCCACCCAGCTGCGGAGCTTCCCACCCCCAGAAGGGTGCCATTCCCAAACAGTCCACTAGAGGGACCCGCGGTCACCTTCCGCCCAGAGGGCCCTCTGCCCCACCAACCCAGAGTCTCCTTGGGGTCAGAGGCCATGGGGTTGTCCACGCCTGATGCCCCGTCCCCAAGCAGGAACATTTAGGTCCCCGCGGCCGCCTCTCTGGAGCCTGGGCACGTGGGGTTCTGAGCAGCCTCTCTCGCCTCAGGGGGCATCCCGGGGCCCATCGCCTTCGGCTGGGTGATTGACAAGGCCTGCCTGCTGTGGCAGAGTCAGTGCGGCCGGCAGGGCTCCTGCTTCCTGTACCAGAACGCCGCCATGAGCCGCTACATGCTCATCGCCGGGCTGGTGTACAAGGTGAGCGGGCCCGTCGGCTCGGGGGGTGGGGTGGGAGCTTCTCATCACTAGGGGGCCTGGGCTCTCTACCCGGACAAGCCTGGTGGCTGAAGACGTCACTCCTGCAGCCCACGTGGCTGGAGTACACCCTTCCCTGCTTTAGCGGCCCCTGGGACCCTGGCGCTGTGGCCACCATGACAGGCCCCTCCTCCCGGCTCGCAGCCCCGCCCTTGCCTTCCGGGGCCTCAGCCGTGAAGCCTGCCCTGTGGCTGCGGGCAGCCGAGGCTCGGAGGGTAGAGCCCGCAGCCCCGGCACGTCCAGGCCACTCGGCGAGATGGGCTCAAGGACGGTGAGGGCCTTCCCGGGCCCTCCGCTCTGTGCTGTGCTCAGAAACACCCTGCCGAAGCTCCGGCCTGTGCCCCCAGGTGGACACGACTCCGTGTTTCGAGTCCCCCCACCCCGGGAAAAGGCACAGGACTTCACAAATGAAATGGTCTCCTTGGGCTGGGCAGGGAGAGTGTGTCCACTGGTGGGAAGCTTGTCCGGAAGGGCCCCGGGCTGACCCTGGGTTAGGTCGATGCGGATTAGCGTAAAAATAGCTGAGCGTGACCAGGGATTTGGGGCTCCACAGAAGAGCCCCGGGTTGGGTTTAAAGAGACACGGTCTTCCGAGGGAGCTGGCCCCCAGTTTTCTTCCGTGTGTATGTCCCGTGGTCCCCTGCCCGCTCCCGCCCAGAACAGCAGGCTGGAACCCTGTGACCTCTGCACAGCCAGCCTGCACCGCCTGCTAGTTCCAGCAGGGGGCGGCTGCAGGTGTGCCCCTAAGTACCTTTGCCCCAAGTGGCCCAGGCCTGGCAGTCCCCCGTGAAGCTGCGGGGAGAGGGTGGGCATCTCTGCTGGACCTGGGTTTCCAGGGTGCACGAGTGTGCACGGCGTGGGCGCCGCGCTCTGGTTTTCCAGGCCGAGGCCGTGAGGTGGGAGTGCCAGGCTCGCCAGCTCCCGGTCAGGTTACTGAGCCGCTGTAACCAAGGCCCTCCCCTGGGCGGCTTAAAACGACGGGAATGTGTGGTCAGTTCTGGAGGCCAGAATCCAAGGTCAAGGTGCCGCAGGGCCAGTTTCTTCTGGGGTCTCTGAAGGGGGCTCCCTCCCAGGCCAGTCCCCCAGCTTCTGGGGGGCCGTCACCCCATCTCTGCCTCCATGTTCACGGGGTCCCCTCTGTGTATCCGTGTCAAACCTCTGTCCCCTCCCTCCTGTAAGGACACCAGCCACTGCACTGGGGGCCCACCGTCCAGTGTGCGCTGCTCTCGGGTTCCTTAATCACTCCGACAGGGCCCTGTGTCCAGACACAGGTCCCAGGTGCCGGGGATCGGGACTTGAATACAGCTGTGGGGGCGCAGTGTTCAGCACCCCCCTTACCCACCGCCTCTGCTTCTAGTCAAATGGCGCTCTCGTTCCTTGGCTGAGCGTTGGTGTCCACACGGGGGACTGGCTGCAGGGGCAGGCTCCCGGGAACCTCGAGCGGAGCCCGGCTGGACGGGGCCCAGGCGGGCGGCTCCGTGGGTCCAGCAGCTGCTCTCTCCCCAGGCTCTGGGTTTCCTCTTCTTCGCCGCTGCGTACGTGCTGTACAGGCCCCCGACGGCGTCTTCCCACGGCCTGGAAGTCTCTCTGCCCAGCCAGTCCTCGGCCTCCGACAGCCCCTCGGACCTCCAGCTCCAGAGCAACGTCTGATGCCCACTCGCCGGCTCGGGGCCTAGGCCAGCACTCGGCAGTCCCTGGAAACACCATCTAGCTGCTGCCCGGAAGGGCCGACCCTCACTGACCGCTCACCCAGCACTGAGCAGGGGGCCCTTCACACATCTCCCATTAGATTTGGGGCGGGGGGCTCGAGCCAGGGGGGCTGTGCGTATCTGAGCCCAGAAGGCAGCGAGGAGAAGGCAGGCAAAGCACACTGAAGTGCCTGCAGAGAAGCACAGGGACGGGGGAGGCGGCCCGGCGTGCCCACCCTGCCGCCGTACACGCCCCCTGCCCACCGCTGTCCGGCCGTTTCACACTCTGGGTCTTTCCCAGTGGACACAGCCGGACGGCATCACCCAGGGCCTCCGGAGCCCGAGACGCAGGAACAGCCCAGCTTGTAAATCAGCCTGTGCCTTTCCGACTTAGCGCTGTCAGTTGTCGTAGGCACCAGCAGGGCCGTCTCGGACCGAGCCGCCGCCCCGCTCTCCGGGGTCTCTGTCCACGGCTGAGCGAGCAGCTGGCGACTCACCCGTTGGGCTCGGCCATCCGTGTGCGCCCGGGGCCTGCTCAGTTCTCGTGGACGAGACAGGCTGGTGTGGCTGCCCCGTGGGGAAGGGCAGGCGTGGGCCCGGCGTGGGCGCTGGCGGCTGGGCGGCCCCTCTGAGCCAGTCCAGTGCAGCGCCGCGGCCTCCTGAGTTGTCCTGACGCAGGGGAGGCCGGCGGGAGGCCGTTTCCCACGGTGGGATCCCCCGGGGGCTGGTTCCTGGTTCAAACCTGCTGTCACCCCCCCCTGCATCCTTGCCATGTGACCTGCAACGGGACAGGAGCAGGCTGCATAATCGTATATTTATTGACCCATATTTTGCAGAAACACTTATTTCTAGAATCTGGTTTTTACCTGTGGATTTTGCCTGAGGGAGTCGGACCTCTGCCCTCGGTCAAAATTATGTGAATAAATATATTTTAATATTTAAAACACACGTCCTGTTGGTGGACTTGATTTCTGGGAAGGTGCAAAGTTTGGCAGGTTTGCCCGTCCCTCCCGGCGGAGGCTCAAATCGCTTCTCCCCTCCAGTCCCGGGCAGACCCCTGGGCTCCTCGACCTCCCCACCCGCAGCCCAGGGGCCAGCGGCCCCCTCCCACCTTCCGCCCCCTCCTGGGCCCACCCCACTCTGTCAGGACGCTCCCACAGCGCCTGACCTGCAAGGGGGGCCCCCATGCCCTCTGCCCTCTGTCCTCCACCCTCTGTAGCCTCGGGGACCCGGGGCAGTCACTGGGGGCACCCCCTCCACAGGCCCCATGTCCCACTCGGCCCCTTGTCCCCTGTGGGCTCAGGGCGTGGCAGAGTCCTTGGCAGACTTCTCTGGCAAGAAGCAAAACAGAAGCACTGGGCACTGCCAGCCGGGGGTGCCTCAAGGCATCGGCAACGCCTGGCCCATTATGGCCGAGCCTGCCCGGCGTTTTCTGATCCCACCTGGACCAGGGCTCCCCCCACCCCACCACCACCACCTCTGGTGGGAGCTCCCAGCTCAGGTGGGAGGCTGCAATTGCAGCCACTGGGCACGAGGGGGCAGCACAGACACGCCCTGGGGGTCTGGCTCCCTGAAGGCCACAGGATCCCAGGCCTCCAGGCCCAGCTGGCCTCCTCTCCCCCCACATGCCAGCCCCTAAGGGGTCTCTTCCTTCCACTCCCCCCGGGAGACCTTTCTGCGACTGTGAGCTGGCTGCCACCCTTCCAGGAGTCCTGACCTCCCTCGGGGCGAGGGGCTGAGCAGTGAGCGTGAAGCTGGAGGGCACAAGCGGATCGGTGGGGCATCTGCTCTGAGCCAGGCCCTGTGCTGGGTGACGAGGGCCCAGGCCCAGGAGGAGGGCAGTCGGGGGCCTGGGACCCTCCTAGCTCCCTGACACCCCCTCCCAAGGGGGACGGCCCTGGTCCCCCTCGTCAGGGTGGGGACCCCAGGACCCGGCAGAAGCCAGAGTGTCCAGATTGGTTCACCCCTGCTCTGCCAGGCTGCGGACCGCTAAAGCCCCCGCCGTTAAAAACCACCAACATGGAGGCCAGGGGCTGCTCACCGTGGCAGAGAGCCCCCGACCCTCGGCCACCACGAGTCCACCTCCTGTCTCTGGCAGGGCCTGTTCTGCATGTTCCTTAAACAGAAGCACAGGTCACGTGGCCATGTGGCTCCGGCTGTGTCCGCACAGTGTCCTGCTCGAGGCTCATCCACAATTTCACAGGTGTCAGCGCAGGTGAGGAGCAATCGGTCCATCTGGGCCGGGCTCGGAGGGTGGCCCTGGCCAGCTCGGCACTTGACTGCCACCGCCCAGTGGTCTCAGGGCCCCGAGGTGGCCCCTCTCTGACCTGAGCTCGGAGGCTGGGAGTCCCCGAAGGACCAGCTGCACTGGTGGGCGAGCCCCCTGGGCTCTGTGTGCCGGCTGCTCCGGGCAATAGCCCCCACCGAGAGAGCCTGCACTTGGACTTGTTCTGGTCGGCAGCACAGGCAACAGCGACTTAGTGGTCGTTGTATGTATAATGCGTTTTATTCTCTGCTGGCTCCCCCAGTAATTACATTCCGCTGCGTTTAATTTATAACTGGATCATTTATTCTGAGTGGTGCTGGGGGACCGCAGGCTCTCGGGAGCTGTTGCTGAAGGAGCCAGGTTCTCCGCCCTGGCTGCGCCCGGCGGACATGAGGCCAAGCTTCTCGGGGCTCTGCTGGGGGCTCCCAGCCAGCAGTGGCACAGGGAGGATGCAGTGGAGACGCTGATACATTGTTACTGTAACATCAGATACATTGTTACCACAATCTAACAACTCAGCATGTGACCTGGACCCTTGGACCCACCAGGCAGGGCTGCCAGCACAGTGTGAGTTTCATTGGCCTGGAGCAGATGTGCAGGAGCCTGGGTGTTTCACTCACACGTTCCGTGCCTCGGTTTCCCCACGTCCACCTTGGGGAGGACCCCTCAGTATTGATCTCACTGGGGTGTCTAAAGACTAGAGGGGTCTCCGGATTAAACAGCAATTGCAGGAGGTATGCGTGCTTATGAGATAATTAAAATAGTTGGCATCCCTGCTTGTCAGATAAGAAAACCGAGGCGCTGAGAGCTGAACCAGCAGCCTGCCTGCATCAGGGCTCTGCAGGGACACAGAGCCAGTGGGGGGCTGTGGAAGGGGAGGAGGGTGAACTGGCCCACGGCTGCGGAGGCTGAGACGTGGCGGGAGGAGACCCAGGTCCGGCTCAGGCGGACAGGCAGGCGCACATCCTCCGCGTTCTGTGTGTTCGGTCCAGGCCGTCAGCGAGCTGGACCGGCCCACCCGCACTGCGGGCAGCCCCGCTTCACTGAGCCCACCGATACGGACACCAGCCTCCCAGACACCCCCAGAATAACGTTTAATCTGGGCCCCATGGTCCGGCAGGTGGACACAAAAAATCAAATTTCACCCGCTCTCACTGGGCCACCCTGCCTCTTGGCAGAGCCTCGGGTCTCCCCAGCAAGCCTGTCCCCTGTGCTGGCGTTTTTGGGGGTCAGAACCCCCATCTCTGCCAGAACCATGTGGGCACACCCTTCTAAGGCTGGTTTGTGTCCTCGCCCCTGGGTTAGACTCAGGGAGGGGTGGCATCCCCACTTGCACCCAAAGAGCACCTGGGCAGCCTGGCTGTCACCGAGTGCAGGCCACTGTTTCGTGCGTCCCAACCACCCTTGAATCTCCGGAGCATGAAAGCAACTCCACCCCCGGCCTCAGCCGCACAGTCAGCCCCTCCCTGGAGCCACCGATTTCCACGAGAGCATCGCGGCAGCCCAGTGGCGGGCAATCACACACCTGGAAGTCACTAATTAGCAGCCTAATTAGGCCCAGGTCTCCACCCCTCACCACGGTGGCTCGGAGCAAACTCCCCCTGCGGCTGGTGACTGCACCTTCTCAGGGAGCACACGGAGGAGGACTCGGTGCATTTACTTCCCACTTTCCCAGAAAACCCCCGCTCTGCAGCGGGAGCCGCCGTGGGCCCTGCGGCTCCACTCATCCAGGCAGAGACCAGAGTGGTGCCCGGTCGGGGGCGGCCAGGCCGGGGTGCACGGGGTCAGGCTGTGGGTGACCAGCCCTGTCTCAGCGACATCCTCAGGCTCGGACAGGCGGGCCGCAGCAGGACAGACGTGCAGCCGAGGGCGTGGGGGAGGGGGTGGGCTTAAGGGGAAAGGCAGCGACCCCAGAAAGCCTGGGACCCGGCTTGGGCCTCGTGGAGGGTCCTGCCTGGGTGGGAGACTTCTGGGCTCTGAGAGCCGGCCGTGCTCCCGGTTCCCCAGGTCCGGGCCGAACGACACTCGTGTTTGTCCACTGGGCTGTGTCTCCCTGCGGCTCCGGCCCCCTGAGGGGCTCCGAGCCCCAGACAGCGGTGACAGCTAAACAGCCCTGCACCAGGGCAGCGCCGCTCTCTCCGAGCTCCCAGCTCAAACCAGCCTTTCTCCCCAGGCAGCTGAGAAACGCGGCGGCCGCCCCGTTTACCAAGGGTGACGGCGCAGACACAGAGTTCGCTGCTCAGTGAATGTCCCCCTGGTGCCGGGACGTCATGTTCCCCACCTTCGGAGTGAAGACGACCGGCTTCTTCGGGGGCGGGGGTGGGAGGGAGGCAGAGACAGGCAGGGCTTCGGCTGCCGCAGACGGGGCAGGAGGCTCACCACCTGCACAGCAAAGCCCGCGTCTGCGCTCGGGGAGTCGGACCCCAACACGCCGTCCCTGCCAGCTGGCCACCACTCCACGGTCAGACTGGTCTTTTTCCTCTTTTTTTAAAACACCTTTTGTTATGCCCTGGCTGGTGTAGCCCAGTGGATTGAGCACGGGCCTGAGAACCAAAGGATTGTGGTTCGATTCCCAGTCAGGGCACACGCCTGGGTTGCAGGCCAGTTCCCAGCAGGGGACTCATGATAGGCAACCATATGCTGACATTTCTCTCCCTCTCTCCTTCCCTTCCCCTCTAAAGATAAATAAATAAAACCTTAAAAAAAAACCTTTTGTTATAAAATATAAAGTAAAAGGGGGCCCAGGAACTCTTAGCAGTCATTCACCCTCTAGTCTAAATTAGCACCAGCTGTTTCACCACAGGCAGATTTGGGTGATGCAAGAGGGAAGCATAGAGGGACGGAAGAGGGTGTCAGCACATCTAGGGCCCCAGAGGAAAGGCAGGTGGGGAGGGAACCAGCTGTCCTTTGGAGCAGCCTCTGGCTCAACCTCACGATGCTCTGAGGTCCACGAAGAAGGCTAAAGGCCATTGGGCCCCCAGAGACACAGTGTGCTCAGTGCACTTGGTCGGTCAACAAACACATGCTGAGCATCTTCCCAACGCCAGGCTCGGAGCTGCCGCCCTGGACAGAGCCCTGGGCAACACCAGGATGTCCCCAGGCCCCTAGGGGCCCTTGCCCTGCAGGAGGGTGCGTGCCGATGCCCACGGAACAGCGGGGCTGCTGGAGGAAGCAGCAGGGGAGCAAAAGGTCAGTGTGTGGAGCGTCCCCTGAGGGAGCGCTGCCCCTGCCCCTGCGGCCAGGCTGGCTGGCAAGGAGGCAGCTCCCAGAAACACGAGCACCAAGCTGAAGAAAGGAGCCCCCCCCACCCCCTGGGAGACCCTGGGGGTACGACGTTTTCCCCCAGACTGCGCCCCCAAAGGCCAGGCTGCCCCTAAGCCACGCTGTGGACTGCACGCACCTGGGAGGGTGCCAGGACCCAGAAGGTCGCCGCCACCTCCTGCACCCCGAGCTGGGGCCACACCCACTGCCAAGCGCTCAGGGAGCTGCAGAGCCGGAACCTGGAAGGCGGACGCTCACCCAGGACCAGAGCTGCCCAGGAAGGAAGCCCAGCACCGTGCCGACAGCTGGGAGACGCCGGGCTCTGAACGGAGCGGGGAGGGAACTTCCAGGGTCTTGGTGGCGGCTGGGGAC